TCCCCAGTAGACACTTTACCACACTCTTTTGACTAAAGTCAGCGGGTAATTTCCACCTTTCAACATCTTTGCTCTCCTCTAATTTTCAGCAACTATACCTAACCAGACTGTGTACTTTCTTTATTTCTCTAGCTTATTGCCACACCGGTGAGCTCCATATATGCTGTTCGTTTTGCTCATTGCCTGGCGTATAGTAGATGCTCAGTAAACATTTACTGAATGAACCAGGATGCTGCTGGTGCTTCCTGCATTCTAGAACTTCTGTGTATATAAACTTGCTTAAACATGTCCCCTTAAGGGTCTGCTCCCTTGAGAGCAGGGAGGTTATAGAACGCTGTCTTTGTCCTATCGAGTGAGTCTCTTTGGTCTGAAGGATTCGTGCCCTTTTATGGGCAAGCCCAGAGATGGGCTCAGGCTTCATCAAGACAGAGTTTGGTGTTTATCTCATCAGGTGGTGGCTAAATTATTTTTTTCTCTGTTGTTAAGAAGTCTGATTTCCTTAGCAAGATATTGGTATCATCATTTTCCACTAAGGAGAGTGAAGTGAAATTTTGAGATCCCTTTAGAGAGTCTTACCAAAACGAGTTTTTATTGTCACTGACACAAATTGGATTTATTGGGCCTATCTTTTGTATTTTATGAATGCCTTCTCACAAAGTTTTAAGAACATCTTCCTGTCTCTTATTCCCCCTTACTGTGTTATCCTCTAGCACAACCAACACTGCTAACTGCAGTTTCCCCCGACAGATTCTGCTACCACAGCAGGAAGGAGGTTTTGTTATGAAAGCAGCCTGAGGCCTGGCATCATATGGTTGGGGGTGGTGACTTGGGAGCCTGCTCTGTTCTTTTGCCTCCCTTCCTTTCTGGCTCATGTCCAGATCCAGCCCCTCTTCACTCCTCACAGGGACAGATGTTTCCATGACTGTTCAGAGCAGTGCAAGGGCACAAGCTTAGAATACAGACAGACCTCAGGTTGATAACAAGCTTCTTCCAACTGACCAGCTTCAGGCAAGTCCCTTAAACTTTCTAAGCCTCAGTTTCCCCATCTGCTAACTAGGACAGATGATACCTGTTGGGCAAGGCTGACAAATATAAGGCATCCATCCCATCTGGCCTGAGGTCTGGCAGAGGAAAGGGAGTCCTCCCCACCACCACCACCACACCACCACACACACACAAATGGTTGCTGCTCTATTTCTCTTTTTAGACTTAGTGACTATGCCGCAGATCAAAAACTTGAGAGATCATGAAGCACGAAAGAAAACAGCCACCACGTTTTGGCACAAGCAAAATAATTCTTGTTAAAAAATAATGGAAAACTCCCGTTTCTTACTAAATGAACCAAAAAATGCTAGGGACTGAGGAAAAAAAACCTATTTCAAAAAGCCTCCCCCCTTTTACCACTTTGAACGAGTCAGTTTTCTTTTGTAAACAGGAGTGAGAAGCTTAAAATTAATCAGGATGGAGGCAGGTAGCATCATTTTAAAGTGAAAGCATGGGATCCCTGGGTGGCGCAGCGGTTTGGCGCCTGCCTTTGGCCCAGGGCGCGATCCTGGAGACCCGGGATCGAGTCCCACATCGGGCTCCCGGTGCACGGAGCCTGCTTCTCCCTCTGCCTGTGTCTCTGCCTCTCTCTCTCTCTCTCTCTCTCTGTGACTATCATAAATAAATAATAAAAAAAAAATTAAAAAAAAAATATTAAAAACCTTTAAAAAAAAAATAAAGTGAAAGCATGAAGGAAGGGAGTAAAAAAAAGTTCATTGTATGCGAGTATATTTTTAAGGCAGAGTGTTCAGAGCTCATGGAAGATGCGTTTTGTCCATCCAGCAGTGTCTGTAGTTCTTTAGGTTTTTATCAGATTACTTTTACTATAGATTTGCATTATTGTAATCCTTAGAGAGCGCCTTAAGCGAGCAGCTGTGGTTTGTTTTGTTTGTTTTGGCAGCAGGAGCAGGGAGATGGGGAAGGAAGCAAAGCCTTTTTGATAGTTTTAGCTTTTGTTCTTTTACACTGAGGCGGAGTCACATCCTGAACTGGACACATGTGAGACAGGGTCCCTGCAAGAGATTCTGAACTCTGTTGTCACCTGTGTGAAGTGTGGTGCAGGGTGGATGAGAGTCAGGCAGCCTGTCCTCAGGTGTGTGTGGTGGGAGAGGAGAGGGTGGCAAGGAGGGCTGGGGGGTTCCAGGGCAGGGGGAAGACTATGGAAGCGGGCATCAGAGAGTGTGGCCAGGAAGAGGGGATCCTGGCAGTAGGTGAGGATGGCCAGGTGGGAGAGGGCTGTGGCCACACACCCAGATGTATCCTGGTCACCAGTATCTCCCCCTCCCTCCTAATGGCAGCCTGCCTCCAGACACATCTCGACTGAACTGCCTACCAGAGCCAACAGTTTGGCCTTCTGCCTGCTGCTGTAGTTGCTGGGAGCTCAGAAGCAAGAGCTGGAATGGGCCTGGGCATGTCAAATGAACTTACTAGTCATTCCTGAGTTCCTTGTTACCTGGACCCAAAAATAATATTTCAAGTGCAAATTGTGGTGAAGCCTTCCTTTGTGCCATTCTAGGTTTGAAAATGATTGGTGTAAGATGCGTTACGTGCTAACAATTAAAATACGTGCTGCAAAACTAGACGTCTATCTACTTACATATCTTACTTTGAGAATTATTAGTTGTGCCACATTTCACCCTGAACCCTTAAAAATGAACAAATACGGTTGTCGTTTCTGAGTACACTTGAGGCAAAGAACTAGTTGTTCTAACAGCTGCCATACTAAGAGTGATTCAAGAAATAGAAAGTAATTCTGGGTGCTCCTTGGCAAATGAGAGCAACAGTATGTGTTGGTTTGCTTTAAGTGAACTTAGTTGGTATACTTTAAAATTCTACCTTGTACTTATTTCCCTTTGGGCCATATTTGTGCTCTAAGCAGAATTCAGTGCTAATCTGATCAGAAGGTTGTAAATGAACAGTTTCTGTGCATTTGTGTGCTCTTGCCCCGTACCCTCCAATCAAAAGGAGGTACTTTGAGTGTTTCAGAATTCTCAACAATTTAGTCCAAGTTTTACTTCCCAAGCTTTTCATCTAACATCTTCTTTGAGTTTTTACAATATAAAATGTTGTGCTAGATCTTCTCCTGGGTATTTAGCATTTTACATCAGCCTACTATGTGCGTGGCTGGCAGCTTTTCTAGAAATAGCAATAAAATGTGTGTGATTCCTGCTCCCCAGTGCTGTGTAGTAAGAAGAGTATGAAATTGCAGTCTTACCTTGCTTTTGTTGTTCTTTTTAATATGGTTCTCATGATTTTCATCAAAGTTCAGTTAACTTTGACAGATCTGCAGTCAGTGGTATCAAGAAAATTAATGAATGGAACCCAATTTATAAACACTTTACTTTCTCTGCTTGTGCATTTAAGCTGTTAGCAAATAGCATGGTTATTTGATTTAACAAAAGTTAGGAAGGTAAACAGTAAGTAGTAAATACCTATTTGCTAAACAGTAAATAGCCAAAAGAGTAGATTTTAGGAACTAAAATATAATTAGTGTGAGTTCCTTAGCCATATTACTTAAACATAAGACATTTAAAATGCATCATACATATCTTTTTTAAGAGCAGTGACAGTGGGACCTTGTGAGGTGGGCCAAGGTGTACTATACAGACTTGGGTGTGGATCATTCACCTGCTCAGTAGCTGAGTATCTTACTTAGCTTTCACCATCCGGACATCAGTTTCTTCATCTGGGGACATAACATGGGGACATATAACACTTGCTTTAGAGACATTGGCAGGATTGAATTTAAAAACCTGCAAGATGCATTAGAACAGTCCTGGGAACATCCTATGTGCTTACTAAGAAATAGTCATCGTTAGCAGGTTAAGTTTTAAACATAATACATAGGAATTTACCTAATCCATTTACAGTGCACTTTGTCCACTGCCCAAAAAGATGATGCTTTGCTTTCTCTCCCTTCAAGTTGAAAAATGTTTCATGATTTTAACTTAACACACTTTCATGTGTATTTGAGAGCAAATATCCTTTGCCCCAAAGGCTGATCCCTAGAAATGAAAAATATTTTCGGAAACAAAGGTTCGGTCTGAATTGCCATCCTTAATCTTTGTTACTGTACGTATGTGCCACCGTTGCTGTAGAATACAAGTTGACACAGCTAAAGGACAAGGCAATTCGCATAGTGCAAATGCTTAAAATTGATGTTGGGGGAAGAGCTGGGTACAGGGCCCCCAGATCTGCACAGTGGTGGATAATTCTGGTCAGGGCTCTCAGAGGCCATTCACAAGTACTTAGCCTCCATGCCAGGGGGGATCAAACAGCCCTGAGGGAGTAATCGTGAGGATGGATGAGGTGGCACTCTTAGCAGTATCTTCCTGAACAACACACGTTGCTGTTAAGAGTTCATAATCTGTGAGATCGTTGAGCCCTGCAAGATCCTTGGGCTCCTGGTCTGCCTAACTAGGGAATCCAGCTAACAGTGAGACCCACGGTAACTAGTGAGTCTTCTAAAGCCTGTGATTTGAGTGTACTAGTCTGTAGAAAAGGACAGTGGTCTCTCGAACTCAACATTCACTTGGAATTTGGCCATGGCCTCCCACATTCTCACAGCTGAGCATAAAGCCACATAAAACTCTCTAGGAGAGGATAAAAGCTTTCGAAATTGGGATCACGATATGTTTGTTTGGAGAAGGCAGGCAGTCCTATTGGGTTTTCATTAGGAATTCCAGTAGCTCTGCTTTTTAATTACTTGTAGTTATTTTCATTAAGCAAGCCATTTTACTGGCCAGTGATTTTTGGCGCCAGCTACACGCTACACCTATAGATTGATTTCTATAATCTCAGGTGAAAGGGCAGGTCTCCCCCACACTGGAACAAGTTAGTGGCCCTCTTGTAGCAACATTTTCTTTACCTTTGGCCAAGGAAGAATGTTGAACCAGAAATGTGATTTTTTTTTTCCCCCGCTGATGCACCGTTCTGTTTTCTTTTCTTTGTCTTAGATAGGAGAAAGGCATTTTAAAAGAAACCCATAAGATTTCTTATAATGGATTGCCTTCGAAATGAAAATGAAGCATATGAATACATTTTCTAAATGACCTTGGAGAATGACATTGAAGAATCCATCATGGATTGAGATTTGACCTGCTATTTTTCTCCTACCAATTTTAGGTTTGATTTCATTTTTAATAATGGCTTTATTATTTACTCTAGCCTGGTTCACTCATAACTGTTTGCTTTGAAATGCGAAACCACATATTTTCTCTGTAACTCAAATAAAAATGGGGTCATGCGAATGACCTTTCAGACAGAAACGGCATAGTCCATCCACTTTGACAGAAATAGCACGCGCACACACACTGTCGCTCCAGAGTAATGGAATCATTTTAAGACAAAAGATCATTCAGTCACCGTAAAGCCTGAAATCTAATGACCGTGATTATCAGTGCCAAGTTGTGGACACTGGGGACGAAATTTAATAACTGCTCACATTTACTGAGCAAACGTGGTGCCGAATTCCACGCTGAGCACTTGCAGTGTATTACCTCCCGGAATTCCCACATCAGCCCTAGGAAGTATAGGAATCATTATCCATAAATGAGGAAACTGAGGTTCCCTGAGCTTGAGTAAAACTTACAGGTAATCTGTGACCCTGGGAAGTGGCCAGGCTGTGGAGGAAGCACAGTTGACCTTGACCCTAGGACCTGGGCTCTGAACCAAAGAGGGGCAGGAATCCAAAGGCCAAAAGGCCACCTGAAGGATACTCTCCTGTAGAACCCTTTTTTGTTTTCTGCCCAGGATTCATGATGGGTAAACAGGAAGTGGGTTACTCTCCCCCACCCCCACCCCCACTCTGTGCCCTGAGAGGTCACCCTGCCGAGTTCTCCTTTCCACCCCTGGGATGAAATCTCAGATGGGACCTGTAGCCTCTTCAGTTCATCTTGAATAATTGAAAGTTCTCAGATCAGTTGCAGGATGAAAGAGCCCAGTCCAGCATTTGTCAGGACGAAAACTCCAGCCTCTCCTCCAGTTGAAATTAGCTTCTCCCTCTTCCAGCTCAGGCCCGTGTGGGCTTGGAAGGGGAGGAGGAAAATCTGCTGGGCAAAGGGGATGAAATAAACAGGGTGGGCTTTCCCCCCCTCCTTCTTGCTCCAGCTCCTTTCCCACTTGTGATTAGGTGTCACATCTGACCTCTCCCAGTAGGTCCTGGGACACTGTGCGAATATGCAGGGCAGGCAGGGTGCAAAGGGGAAAGCCACAAGGCTCCCCTCCTTGGCTCTTGACACCTGGGATCTGGTGACCTGGGGGCTTTCAGAGCGGGCTCTTTGGGGCTTCCCGGGGACAGCCACATCCCTCCCACTGCTAAGGGGGGCTCACAGCCTTCCCCTCGGTGCAGGGCCGCTGGCTTTTTTGGGGGTGAATCTCTGGGGGAATTCCTTTACCATAACCTCAGACCACCTTTTCCCAAGTACGTATGTGGACCTAGGAAACTCCCACGCCTGTACTCATGGAAACACAGCTTCCTCTCCCTGTTTGAGACCAGGGTAAGCATACGGAGCCGCTGCCCTCCATCACATCAACAGCAGAGAGCTGGAGCCTGCCCTTGCTCCTGCTCTCCTAAAGCAAAGTTGTCTCCCCTTCCGCCTTCGTTTGCCACCTGACATGAGGAAACACCGTGGGTGCCGGTTTGCACCCCTCCGCTCTTCCCTCCAGCCTTGCTCAGCTCACGGTGCCACCTGGAGGATGTTTCCATAGCGCAGTGCCTCCTCCACCGGGAGAATAATTCTCGCACGTGTATCGGAAGGCAGGCCCAGGCGTCGTGCCCCAGCACATTGTAGGGGAGCCAGCGAGACCGACTCCCTTCTGCGTCCGTATCTGTGAAGTCATCAGAAGCTGAGAGTTGGCCTCTCCCGCCTCTGCGCGCTCACTGCAACATCCGTCTCTGTCCCGCAGATGTGGAGGATGCACGTGGCAGGGGACAGTGCTGAGACGTGGGGAGGTGGTTTGCCCAACGTGTGGAAAATTAAAACAAAGCAATGGAAACCTAGGGCAAATCCGAAGACCTCCTGTAGCCCACTGAAAAACTAAACTGCAAAAACGACGAGGCTACCAGAATCAAAAGTCGAAATGTTAGTAGGAAAAGCCCCTGGCTTCCAAGAATACACAGAGTGATCCTGTGGCCGGCCAGAAGATTGTGTCACTTGCAGCCCGGGAGCTGATGCTGACAGCAACTCCGAGGTCACAAAAGGGAAGAAGATTCAGTCGTCAGAGTTACAGATGAGCGGGATTCACGGGACGATAAGAAAGCACGAGGCACGTCATCCAGTAATTGAGAAAGTACAGCCCCTGCAAGGGCAGTGGTTTTGACTTAATGCTTCCAGATGGTTGGCCCTCTGGTTTCTTAGTTTCTGTTCAGTCAGTACTGTGAGAATTCTGCCTGGGTTTGTTTGTTTTTGTTTTTGTGGGTGTTTTTTTGTTTTTTTTTTCTTTTTGGTGACTTCCCCATTTACTTTTCTCATTTCACTCCTTTGCTTTTGCCTTGTTTGCAAGTTACTCTGCAGCATTAAAAGAAACGAGTACAAATGAGTATGCGCTCGGAAGGGAAATATGAAAACATGGCATATTAGCTAAAATGGATAAATGAGTGTCTTCCAAGTGGAATGGCATTGCTTCCTTTAGCCCACAGAACTAAACATCATTTATGAATACATTTTGCTTCTAAATGGAATTTTTTTGTGATAACCACGGGATTGTTCACTTGGTGCAGTGTGTATGAAGGTGACAAATTTTGTGAGGCCCTGCTGCTTCAAAAAACATCAGAGGCAGAGGTACGGGCAGATGCGTGCGAGCACACAGCTGGTCTGGAGGAGCTGCCATCGATGGGTTTGGCTCAGGCCTGACATGCAGAGGACAAAGGAGAGTGTGTAGCTCGCCACAAACCGCTCCTCGGTAGTCAGACTGGAAGCCCAGAGTCGGCCTCAGCACACCCCCTCGCCTTCCACACCCCGTCCATCTCCCAAGTGTGGCACCTCACCAGCATCTCTTGAAATTGTTCACACTTCTCTCCATCCCCAGAGACACCGTCCTCATCATTGTTTAGTGAATGAAAAGCGTCTGTGCCCATATTCAGCCTTCTCCAATCCCGTAAAGAGGTGGGAACTATCATCATCCCATTTTGGGGATGGAAAATTTGAGGCAGAAAAGGATAGTAACCTGCCCAAGGTTACTCAGACTTTACGGGGCTGAGGCAGGATCCAGACCCAAAGGCAGCTGCTCTGAGCCCGGCCACAGTCTCCCTCCCCTACAGTACTGACTGGCCTCTCTGCAGTCCCTCTGGCTCCCCTCTCCTGCCACCCATGCTCTGCCACCAGGGGGATTTCTTAAAAATACAGATCTGACCCTGTCACTGATGCTTCACTCCCCTCCAGCGTGCTCCCTGTACTCTGCCTCTACCCCCACCACCTCCACTGGTGGGTCTCTGATCCCTGTCCCCCTAGCACTCCACACCAGCTACTGGCTGTCTTTGAAGTTTCTGGAATGTACCATGAACTCAGTAGACAGCCTCTTTGAGAGTGGATGCCTCCGCCTCCCGTGCCTTTACTCCAGATCCTCACCGCCCTTCATCTGACTTCTGAGAAGTGGTTTGTAGGGAAGGACACCTTTGGGACAGTCCTGCCACATTTGTCACCAGCATTATTCAGCTCATACTTGTCATATGCATGCTGGATCTTTTTTTCTAAATTGTCATGACTTTCTGTTTCTTTACACCTGACACTTAATTGCTCCATCAACAAGTACTAACTGACCACAGCCCATCATTCAGTGAGCACTCATATATTGTGACGGCATTTCTCTTACATTTGTAAAGAATTCCAAAGTTAACATTGTCAGTGAAACTCTGGAATTTTACTTCATTGACGAGGATGTTTCTCTGTCCTTAAGTGGGATTCAAAAATAGAGCTGCGAGAGTGACCCTCCCAGCAAGTTCAAAGCAGTGGCACAAATAGTATTACAAAGAAAAAAAAAATCAGAAAGCAACACGGCACAACTTTATACATATCGTCAGTGTTCTGTGAGCAGACATATTAGGAAATTAGATCTTTTTTTTCAAGAACCCTTCTTAACCTCAAAGGTCAGCTGCTTTTTTTTGTCATTTGCCGCCAAGAACGTTTGACCTGAAGACGTGTTCAAGCTCACCAAATTCAACACATTCGATTGTCACAGACAAGGTCACGACGCGGAGAGGTTTGATGATTGGAAGTTGAATTAGACTCCCAGTGGACAGCGACATTACCACCATTTCTGTGTCGTGACACACGTGGGAAATGGCCAGTCTTCACATACTTAAGAAACTTCTGTGGGTGGATCTGGGACTCTGTTCAATCCCAGGGTCCCCACTCTAACTGCAGTGCTTTCTTCCTATTTAAGATTTAATGGCCAATTAAGCATCAACTAGCTCTTGCTTTTTACTTACCAGAAGCACTCGGCCCACAGTGTTTCATAAATGAATCTTAAAATCAGGAGAGTTTCTGCAGACATCTGGGTTTGCCACTTCCACGGTGAGCGGCAGTCCCTATGGCAACCCTAAGCTGGGGGTCCCTTCGGAAGGCCACTGTCACCCGTGATCAGCCTGACTGCAGAAGCATTTGAGGCGCCTTGTGCCTGGTGCCTAGATTCCAGGAACTTTGCCTTTAAGTATTTTTCATATAAAGTATATGCTTTGAGGCTCATTTTCTCTCTCTGACGGCCTTCAGGGTTGCAAATGCTCCTGGTCCTAGAGCGCTGGGTCTTCCCAACATTACATGTTACCTAGCAGCCCCTGTGAGCAGCTGGCAAGTTTGGAGTTGGAAAGATTCAGGCCACTTTGGTTTTTAAAGTTTTGAACTCTCTAGTTGCTATGTCCCCAAAGCCCCAGACTTGAATTCATTTAAGAGGCAAGAAAGCTTGCCTTGTTTTCTCCGGTGCCAGAGGCGTTTCGGTTCTAACCTGATGCTCATCAGTACAGCAGGGGGCTGTTGTCCCCTTCCCCTGGCCACTCAAGGGCTGGACCAGCTTCCTGGGCGTCACCTGGGATCTTCGAGATACCCAGAAGCCCAGGCCCCACCCCAAATCCACTTCAAGACCCTGCCTTTCAAGGACATCCCCAGGGATGCTCAGGCACATTCAGGTTTGAGAAACTGCTAGTGTGAGTGGGAGTCACTGTCTGTGGCCCCCACTGTCCCTGGCCACTGGGCCCCTTCAGCCTCCCCACCCGGAGCAGGACTCCTGCACAGGTAACCGTGACCCCTGGAGCCCCACTTCACCATCGGAAAGGAGCTGGCGGGGCTCTGCCCCCCCGTCACCCTAAGCCAGATTGCTGTGGAGTTCGTGGCGGGCCCTGATTCAGTGGAGGTACCATTTTGTACCTCAGTTCACCAAGCTTCATTCTCCAGTTCGTTTTATTAGTCTATGAAATTTTCAAATGGATATTAAATGGGGTAGAATGTAGCCAGATAGTTTGTGAGTGAAAGTTTCTCCCTCTTTCCAGCTTATGTTCCCCCTTCTTAGGGATCAAGCAGGACTGTATAATTACTGTTGTTTATGAATCCTATGCAGCTGAGATCTAATTCTGCTTCCCTGGAAGAAGATGAGGAAACACAAGCCTCTCCTGGCCTGTTCTCATCAGAGCCTTAGCCGCACCTGGGGGGGTGTCAGAGGCTGGTGAAAGGGCTGCAACAGTGATGGGGTGGGGGGCCGGGGATAGGGGGAGACCATGTGCCACAGTGCTCCCTGAGCATAGTTCCTGGCTGTCACATTAATGGCGTCAAGATGTAGCCCCAGGTATCCAGCCAGGTGTGTCATCTACCCTTTGACCAGCCTTTTCAAACGTACTTGGTCTACATCGTAACAAAGTGTATACTCCGGAACTCTGGGAATATACAGCTCTGTCCCAGCAGCACCGTGTAAGCATTGAAAAAATAAAAAACAAAAAAAACGAGAAGTTAGAGATGATACAAGCATTAGAAAAAGAAGCAGCCTAAGCCACCTTCATTATTTTTGAAGTAGGTAGTTTGCTGGCTAAAACAGATCCTCTGGCACCCAACTTGTTCCTCTTTAGCATTGTCTTACGCTTTCCATTCTTCCAGGAAGATGATTTTTCTTGTCCTTCTCCAAAGGGTCCAGATTAAAACTTTTAAACTCTGAACACAGTCATCTGTAAATATAAGTGTGCTGAAAATTATTAGGGAAATTGGGAATGACAGACAAAAGAGAGAGGGAAGGAGCGGAACGAAAAGGAAATGAAGTGGAAAGTGGTTACAGTCACTACCTTTCCAACATAATCCTTTCATACTGGTTTTGTTCTAGAAACTGCTCCCTAAGGTTAGATGGCTTGGAGCGGTTGGGAGTTCCTGCAGGAGCCCTCCTGGGGGCATCTGCCTCTGTTTACCCATTTTCACGCCCTTTTTTCCATGAAGAAGGCAAACAGCGTGAAAGCAGGACTGTCAGCTTCCTGACACATGCACCTGCCTGGTAAAAAGACTAGTGTCCATCAATCCTGTGGGTTGAGAGGAACGATTTTTATTAAGTGTTCCGATAGTCTCAGAGCCCATCTTAACAGACAGGGCATGCTGGGAAGTTGTGTCAGTGGTGGGGGATTCTTGGACTTCTGGTCCTAGCAGGATGGAATTGGAAGGGAAGACAGTCATACAGGCCACCGTGGGCATCAGTGCCAGTTCACCTTATATGAAGGACAACTCATCATTCAGGAAATGTTTTCCGAAGAAGAGTAAATGCAGGAACCTGTGTGCAGTCACGTGCCAATAGTCCCATGTACCATTTTGACATTGGAAAAAGTCCACTCATTCTTAGCTCCTCAGAACCACATGATTTAGAGGGAGAAGGGGTCTGGGGAAGCTCATCCAAAACGTGGCCCTTCCTGGGGAGGGCAACCCTCTCTCCAGCACTGTGGATGTGATCCAGTGGGGTTGCCTCTGAGCCCAGGCTCTGCCACCTGCTCTGGCTCTGAGCTCCTCAGTGAAGGGGGGACCCCATTTCACCTTCCCGGTCAGGTGGGCCCCGGGTGGTGGCTGAAGAAATGCAGAAGGTTCCGCAGAGAAATTGCTGCTCCCCTCCGGCATCTCATTCAAAATTTGTTCAAAGAAACGATCTCGCTTAATCTTCATGGGGGGGGGGGTGGCTTTTTCAACTAAATTGAAGTATCATAAGTATGAGCTGCACAATTAAAGGAAGTCATTATGTAGGAATTGCCTTGGGCTTTCTCAAGGCTCACATAGGAAAATATTTTTATTAGAACAAATCCTTTTGCAGATTACCGGAATTGTCTCTTAGCAAAACATGGTGATGGGTGTATTTGGAGATTAAGTTTTAAAAGATGTTAAGGGAGAACTATCAGGCTTCCTTTCCCCCACCTCCAAGCTTGTTATTAATAGACTCTCCATTTTCTTACCATGAGAGCAGATGATTTTATAGTAAAGCCACTATATTTATTTTGTAAATTAGTTATTTGATGTTGGTTGAAAATATTACCCTTAATATTCCTAATTCTAACCAAAGATGCTGAAAAGGTCTGTAACCAGTTACCCTCTGGGATGCTGATGTGTTCACAAGTTCACAAATGTTCTCCATCGGCAGTAATAGGCAGAGGAGTCACTCTTAGAAAAATGCTACATATTATTATTATGCACTAAGTAGAAAGACAGCCTATAAATTTATACTAGGAGGATCCATAAATGTTTCCCTTAGACTGGTTTTGGTTGAGGGAGGGGGTGGTCAAATTGTTCAGAAAGCCATGGCTAGTAAGGCCATGAATAATTAACTATTAAACCAGTTTTCTGTAAAGTAACATATTTAGGTGTGATTGACGTCTTAAGATTTTTTCCCCTGGGGGGGGGGGGGGTCTGGGGAACTACACACCACAAAGAAAACTTTTGATTTCTGCTCGTTAAGTGTAAAAAAAAAAAAAAAAAAAAACTATGGAGCACTTTTATAATCAAATTATCTAGGTACAAGGTTAATCCGGAGGTATCTCTTAAGTTTTCTTGTTTAGTTCAAAACTAACCTTGTAGTTAGGGGGAAGAAGTCCATGCCTAGTCTTGGTCTTCGGGAGAAGGCGTTCTCAGACACACTGGTTGGCAAAAGTGGAAGGGCTCAAACGTGCGTTTGCGGAGTTGTTTCATCTTGGCCGCCAGTCCCATCTCTTGCCGAATTTCTCAGTTTTTGGAGAGTCACAGAAGTGCTCGTTTCAGATGTTGGCGAGAGATTGGGCAGCAAGAAATCGGAAGTCGTGCTTCCCGGAGAAGGAGACGGACGGAGCTCCCCGCCGCGGCGGCCCGAGCCGACACGGGATGGGGGAGTCCCGGGGAGCCCGGGGGCGCGGCCCGGCCGAGCCCGCGTTTGCACCTTCGTGCAGGATTTCCTGGGTCTGGTGCTAGGGGAGGCAGCCGGGCGTGATCGGGGGGCGGACCCCAGCCGCGGGGAGGCGGCGGCACGGGCCCACGCGGGGGACAGCCCCCCCCCAGCGCCCAGCGCCCGCCCCGGCTGCGGGAGCGGCAGCGGCAGCGGCCGGGCCGGCGGGGCGGGGGCGCGGGCGGGGGCGCGGGCGGGGCGCGGGCGGGGGCGCGGGCGCGGGCGCCGCGGGGTGGCTCTGTTGCTACAGCCGTGATGTCACTCGCCCATCCTAACCCGCGGTTGGTTGTTGTGTGTTTCAGCTCTGCCTGCAGTGGAACACAAAGACCTGGAGGAGACTCCCACATCCTTCGGGGAGAAGAAAGGAGGCGGCGGAGCCGATCCGGGGAGCTCGTGGCTCGTGGCCTTCGGGAGGGGGGGAGGTGCCCCGCGGGCGGGCGGGCGGCGGCGGCAGCGGGCGAGCCCCGGGATGCGGCGGCGCCGCGGCGGCGCCCGCTGACGCCCCGACCCCCGGCGCCGTCCGCTGCCCTTTGTGCTTCGGGTACATGTGCCTGCCCAGCGCACCCGCAGGCGCCCAGACCGGAATCCAACACGGCCGCCGGGGAGAGACCGCCCGCCATGCCCACGGAGACCCTGCAGACAGGTAGCATGGTGAAGCCGGTCAGCCCCGCGGGCACCTTCACCTCGGCCGTCCCGCTGCGCATCCTCAACAAAGGGCCCGACTACTTCCGCCGGCAGGCCGAGCCCAACCCCAAGAGGCTGAGCGCCGTGGAGAGGCTGGAGGCGGACAAGGCCAAGTACGTCAAGAGCCAGGAGGTCATCAACGCCAAGCAGGAGCCCGTGAAGCCGGCCGTGCTGGCCAAGCCCCCCGTGTGCCCCGCCGCCAAGCGCGCCCTGGGCAGCCCCACGCTGCGGGTGCTGGGCGGCCACGCCAAGGCCGAGGGCGGCGTGCAGCGCGAGACGCTGAAGCTCGAGATCCTGCGAAACATCCTCAACAGCTCCGAGGGCTCCAGCTCGGGCGCGGCGCACAAGCTCGGCGCGCGCAACTGGCCGCCGCCCCGGCCCGACGCGCCCGACCCGCACCGGCACTCGTTCGCCGAGTCCCTCAAGGTGTACCCCACGCAGGGCCGCGGCAGCCCGCAGGAGGGCGGCTCCCACGCGGCCAGGCGGCTGCCGGAGCCCGCGGCCGACGCCCTCCTGCACGTCTCGCACAGCTCCTCGGACGTGCGCAGGGCGACCGGCGCCAAGCCGCTCCGCGCCCTGCCCTGCAGCAGCTCCGCCCCGCCCCTGCCGCCCAAACCCGTGGGCGCGGCCGTGGGCGCGGGCGCGGGCGCGGGCGCGGCGGCCGCCAAGCCCCCCGAGGCCGCCGAGGCCGCGGAGCCGGCCTGCGGGGTCAGCCGCAGGCCCTCGCTGCAGCGGTCCAAGTCGGACTTGAGCGACAGGTACTTCCGCGTGGACGCCGACGTGGAGCGCTTCTTCAACTACTGCGGACTGGACCCCGAGGAGCTGGAGAACCTGGGCATGGAAAACTTTGCCAGGGCCAATTCCGACATCATCTCCCTCAACTTCCGCAGCGCCAGCATGATCAGCTCAGACTGCGAACAGTCTCAGGACAGTAACAGTGACCTTAGAAACGATGACAGTGCCAATGACCGGGTGCCCTACGGCATCTCTGCCATCGAAAGAAACGCTAGGATCATCAAGTGGTTGTATAGCATCAAACAGGCTAGAGAGTCACAGAAGGTCTCCCACGTGTAAGACGCACGTGCGCGCCGAGGAGGGACGGGGGGGGGGGTCCCTGTCCGTGCATCCGAAGTCGTGAAGGTTGTGAGGTCTCCCCCCAGTGCCCTGAGCTCCTGCGCTCCCTCTGCGTGGCCCGTTGTGCAATGTCTCCAAGTTGCATGCCTGTCAACACGGGGGCTGACCTGGCCCCCGCGCCCACCGTCGCTGCAGAGCCTGGCCGCACACGACACGGCGCCACCGGCCCGGGGTTTCGGGCCAGAATCCGATTAGGGCTTCGATCTTAAGCAAAACTGTTTACACGAAAACGGTATACGACTTCTTCAGTATTTATGTGGTTCTTGTGTTTTTATATCCCGCGCTATTGTGTCTTAATTAAAAGTCTTATCAACTGGCTTTTAAGTTGAGAGTAGAATCTTTTTGAAATATAAAAAGCCAATTTGCCTACGGGTGAGACCGAAACAGTGGGGAAAATCGGTGGGATCCGCCACCAGACAGATAACAGTGACTGACCTAAAAGAGAACCGGGCCAACGTTTTCTGAGAAAGAAAGCGGTGAGCCTGATGTTCGTCGCTTGCATATTGGAGTTCTCCCCGCCACTCGCTTTCAAGTGATGGTTGGGGACCTCAGTGCTACGTTTCGTGTCCGATTTAAGTGTGTAAATGTTGGTGCTTCTGTGTGACACTGACCCCAGGGAAAGACAATCAGAAACCATGAAGGTGATTAAAGCTAAGAGTTTGGGGGGAGGGGGTCGGGGGGTTTTGTTGATACTGCTCTGATTTGGCTTGATTCCGAAAGTTCTACTATTAATCATTCGATGGCGATGGCCATCCTAAAGCTGATACTAAATGTCTTTAAAAAAAAAAAAAGTCGTTTGTTTTTTGATCAAGAACTAATTCTATGCTGACTCTCTTCCCTCTCTCCCTCCCTCCCCCTGTTGTTGGTTTTTTTCCCCGGGAGAGGGGCGCTGGGGGCTTGTGCAGGGTCGAGCTATGGGAAGACATGAACGAATGGGAACACCAGCCCTATCGGTATAGAGCCTCCCACGTAAAAGGGGATCCCTTTCGCAGCTGAACCCTATCTGAGCAGTGCGATTGTGTTGTCTTGCATATGTTACCCTCCTCCTAGTGTTACGGCACTAGAAAGCTCTGGAAGCAAGATGCCATGCCATGTAGCTCTTCCACCCTTTGGTCTCTATCGACTTATTTCCATTCTCCCCAGTAACCTGTCTTGCGGGTGGTTCGTTAGCTGTGGACCAGCTGACAGTTGTGGTGCGGTGGCCGGGAGGGAAACGTGTAGCCGTCTGCTCCATTGCTCTGTGGTCCTGCTCTGAACCTCTCAGCAACGCTACCTTAGACTTCATCAGCTAACGGGCAACTTTTTATGGTGTGTAAATGCTGTAAGACTTTGTACATACTTCAGTTGTTATGAAATCTTTAAGAAAAAAAAAAGAAAAAGTGACGCTAATAAATAGCTCTGGTGCAGGCACTAATGGTGGTGGTTTCTCTTTGTCCTTTTCTTTGCTCCGGCCCCGAAAAGTTTGACTTTGGACTGTGAGCCAGAAAGCAGATTTTTGATAGTCTCAAAGGAACTTTTTTTTTTCCCCCTCATTAAGTGACTTTGGCCATATCACAATTATTCTGAACAGTGATGGCAGTGTGCTTTTGCTAAAATGGTTTCATCAAGGTTCCTAAAATATGCTGCCTCTTCTTTACTTAGTTCGCACTTGCGTTATTTTTACCTTTTCTTAAACATCAGAATTTTTCCCGTCTTCCGCAAGACTCCTCAGTTGTAAATATTTATGAGTTCTTACAGTGGAGACCTACCTTTGAATGTTCTTATTTGTAAAAGCCCAACAGCATTAGCATCACACGTGTTCATAGATTTGTCCACTTGTTCGTTCGTTCATTCGTTCGTTCCTCTTTCAACAGGTTATTTGGTGAGTGGCCCCCTTTTCAGGCCTCATGGTAGGCACAGGACTGCTTTGGGCAACAAATAGCCTCTGCCTCGAGGAATGTAGATGCTCACTTTTAAGAAGAACAGCATTCCTCTTAGGGGACAGATCTTATTTCTTCTTATTAGGACGCGGAGTATTCAAGTATCTCTTGAATCAAGTTATTTGAAGATTAACACCTCTTCAAAAGTTCCCTGTACTATGTAAATGCAAAAGAAAGCATTATTTTAAAAAATATTTTCAGAAGCAGAAATTGTAAGATTCCCAACTATTACTGTTTGAAATTGTTTCCTTCTGGAAACCAAATGTGATTCCTTGACTCTGCTGGCTTGGGATCCTTTCTGGTTCTCTGATTAATGTTCAGTTCCACTAGAGCTCTACTTCCCGGAAGAAACATTTGGAAATGTAGCTTTCAGTGGGGATGACTACAGTGCAGTTAAGATAATAGAATAAAAATAGGTTTCTTTCATTTAGTTCATTCATTCTTCCCTCACCATTAGGGCAGAAACGTGGCCATTTCAAACATTTATGGCTTAGCATTTAGATTGCCATTTCTTTCTAGGGCTACTGCGATACCAAAAATAGATGTCATTTTTATAAGGAAACCAGTTTTTTGGGAGGCGAGCACTTCTTAGCTAATTTAATGTCACCGTCTATGCTGTTTTAGTCATGGATTCTGTTGAATCTTTTTAACATTTCAAAACCACGTTTAATCTGTATCCCACCATAATTCAGTCTAATCCTCTGTGGCCTTATTTGTACAATGGACAAATGTGAGCCTTCTAGTTCCCTTTATGGAAGGGGGAGCTCATTATTTTCTTTTTTGTTAGTGAAATTAGAGTTGGTATACAGGACTGGGTCAGAGGCTTAATATTAAATCCTAAGAGTGAGACATTTCCTAATTGTGAAGTCCTTTTTACAAAGTGCTGATTCTGTTAGTGCATGAAAAGTATCTCGTGTGTGTCTGTGTGTGTGTGTGTGTGTGTGTGTGTGTGTGTGTGTGTGTTTGTGTGATGATAATGATCATGTCAGCAGGAATATTCAGTTGTCATGTAGTTCGGCATACTTTTTCCCTGACACAGGGCAGAGTGAAGCGTGATTTCACAGGATGGCCCTAAGTACTGAAAACCACCAAATTTTAAGTCCTCCTAATATTCACCCCCTCTGCCAGAGTCTTATTTCAGGCTGTCATACCTAAACTATTGTTCCTGTAACCTCCTAACTGGGGGATGCTTAGCCCCCAGCCAGTCTCCCTTCCCCGCCATTTCATGCCAGAGATAACATAATCAACTCTGATTATGTCACTTCTCTATGTAAAAACATCCTCCAGCTTGAGTATGTTGCTGAAAGGATAAATATTTACTTCTTATTAGAGAATGTCAGGATTTACCTTTCAGACCCCATTTTCTGTGTCCCCCAGGCCCCCAGGCTCCAAGCAGAGGAAATTTCCTTTGGGAGCTCTTTGCCACTATGTTAAGTGATCTTTTGCTACAAAACAAATTTCCCCAAAGCTTAAAATGATAAATATTTATTTATTATCTCCCTTTTTGTGAGTCAGGAATCCTGGACTGTCTTAGTCAGATGATTCTGGCACAGGGCATCTCCTTAGGCTCCAGACAAAATGTCAGTGGGGGCTGCATCATCTGAAGGCTTGACTGGGGCTGGAGAAGCTAAAATTCCAAGATGAATCATTTGATGGTGGCAAGAGACCTTACAGCATGGCATCTGGCTTCCTCTAAAGGGAGTGACCCAAGAGAGAAAGCATTGGGAAAGCCACAGTGTCTTTGGCAATCCAGTACCTGAAGTCACACACCTCCACCATGCTCAGGTCATTAAAAGCATATCACTAAATAGAGCCCACACTCATGGAGAGGAGAGTTAGAATTCATCTTTTGAAGGAAGGGATGTCAAAGAACTTTTGGACATGTTTTAAAAATCATCACTACTGCTGAGTTTCAGTAGCTTTCATTCTGTGAGTGATGCTTTTTTCCTTCCTCCTTGACCTTGCAGACTTCTGTTCTTTGAGACTCAGCACAACTATCAACCAGTGAGATTTCTGCATTTCTGTGTTGCCTTTTCCCATTACCTAGTAATTTTTGCCCTGCCCATGGGCCCAGCCTTTGCTACCTTAAACAGTGCCTTTGTTTAAATTGTTAAAAGGTATACCTTCCTCAAAACTATTTTCTGTCAGGTTAAAAAAATCTGTCCTAATTCATAAATCTCTAATGATTATAATGTGAATTGTGATCCCAGAGTCGGCCAGTACATAGCACAGCAGCCCAGAGTATATAGCAGGTGCTTATTAAGTGTTGACTGGATTTTTTTTTTTTTTAACCTATGGCTTTTAAGTCCTCTGCTAGTTACTCTGTAAGTGTTATCAAACGAACCCAAGATGGGACACGTGGATGGCTCAGTGGTTGAGCATCTGCCTTCGGCTCAGGTCGTGATCCCAGGATCCTGGGATCCAGTCCTGCATTGGGCTCCTCGAAGGAAGTCTGCTTCTCCCTCTGCCTATGTCTCTGCCTCTCTCTCTGTGTCTCTCATGAATAAATAAATAAAATCTTTAAAAAAAAAAAACATATTAAAAAAAGGAGGTATAGTTATTGTCCCGTTGTCCCAAGGTATAGTTATTGTCCCATTTTACAGGTGAAGAACCTCAGTTCCACGGAGGTGAAGCCCCTTAATCAAGATCCCAGAGGAAGTAAGTGGCAGAATGGGATTTGAACTCCATACTGCGATTCCAGCTCCACCCCTTCTCCCTGCCACAGCCCAGCTCAAGACAGAGAGAGGCAGACTAGAGTGTGTTTTTGTACTTTAAAACCAAAGTGCTCTTTAATCATCTTGTTCGTTTCATCTGCTGCCTGTATATACAGACATGTCTCAAACACTCAGTATTTCAACAATTTCACTCTTACCAAAATGGCACCCAATAAAATTTAGAAAAAGACTTCAGCTGTTCCATGATACGTAACATAGAGCCGGCTAAATCCAAAGAGGCAAGGCTGTTAGCATAGCGTTCTTTCCGTTTTGAGCATGCTGTGTTTTGGAGGTACATCCTGTCTTTTTTGGCCAAGGACTTTTAGAAGGGTAAACAGAGATAAATGTCTGCCCACAATTCAACAATCGGGAAACACATTTTGGCGATCTGGTGAATCAGCATCACTCGCTCCTGTGGTCCTTGAGGCACGTGGTGTGTCCTTCCCCAGAAGATGCACTGGGGAAAGAATAACAAGGTTAAGGACGCTCTGAGGAAATGAATAGATCCTTAACTCACAACGGATGACTAATCTCACTACAATTTTGAAAATGTGAAACCTGCCTTGTCCACTTAGCCCTATAAGATGACCGAGAGTTCTCTTGGCTTCCAAGAGCTGTACTGTGAAGGACCACAGGCCCGGTGGCTGTACGTTTGGCCCTGAACGAGACCCCTTTATGGAGATTTTCTCTCATATGTTCAACTCACACCCCCTTACTTTGGCAGAAACCCCAGCAGAAGGAAAAGCCAGAGGGAGATGGGCCTCAGCAGCCTTTTGAAACTTCTTCCTCCAATAACTGAGATCCGTCTGCCTAAAACTTTGCCTCCATTCCCTCATCTGTAAAACAGAAACTCCTGTGATGTGTGTGTTCCCTTGACCTCAGGGCTATGAGAGCACAGAGAGCTGTTTTCGGGAACATTAGAATGAGGTGCAGGGTTAACAAAAATTCAGAGAATACTGGGTTCATGGTGTCATGGCAAGTGAGATGGCAGACAAGGCCTGATGGGGACCAAATACTTCACTGACATTTTATGTACCAGCTGCCTGAGTGAGTTCTAGTTGGTGAAAGAAATGCAGTCTATAAAAAGATTCTTCTCTGAGTAGAAAGAGTCTCCAGAAACATTACAGTTGTCCCACAGTGTGGCCAAGTGTACACCAACATACAAAGCTATGATAATAATAATGATATATTCACTAATTGGACATTTTTTTCATTCCGCGTTCATGAAACAACTATTAGTATGTCTTAGATTGATGCTAAGCCCTTTGTCACATCTCATTTTCTCAAGAACTTTAGAAGCAAATCAGAATCCCATTTTGGCGATAAGAGATCTGAGGGCTGAGCAACTTAAAGGCACACGTCCCATGAGGGGCAAGAGTGAAATGCAAACCCATGTTATTAAAGCACATGATGAATTTTTAGTATCTAGGAGGGTGGGAGCCATTTTCATTCCTTTGGAGCAGGTGAGATGTGTTAGGGAACATTCCCCAGAAGCTTAAAACACAGCTGTGTATCCTGGATTGTGGTTCTTCCATACAGTGAGTGGCTCAAAACTGGTTCTCATATTTGATCGCATCAGGACTGCCTGGGATCGCATCGCGTCTGGGTTCTTCTGAGAGGGACATTAGTGATCACTATCCCTCTCTATCCTATTTTACAGAGGAGGAAGCAGGTGCAGAGCAGTGAGCTGGTGGGACCCTGACACGGCTGTGATGGCGCTAGAACAGGGAGATTAGTGCTCCACTACCCCCGATAAGCACCGGGGCCAGGGAACGGTGGGACTGTGCACCGCTAACAATTCCATCACATGACTCAGTTAATATATATTATTCCTGCGCGATGTTCCTTGTCCTCAAAAACTATCAGATATTT